TAGATACAGAACATCTGTTACAGCAGAGATGGACTTGAAGGAAAGTTGAAATTTTCCTTGAGCTCAGATGGGAGAGTTCTGATGGAGTTGGAAAAGCTAGAAATGCTAACTGAGAACATTTGTGATCCTTGGCCACTGTGTGCTTGTGTTACTTTGGTGCTGGTGATGCCCAGTAGTGGTAGCAGAAGCTGCCGTCTTTTGCTTGGAATGTCCTAGGGAGTTCTGGGCATCTGTTCAGCCACACAGGAATGGGTCTCTAGATGCTTGGAGACTTTGGAAGTTTTACACAGGGTATTCTTTTAGCTATAAAAATAAAATGAAAGTGTAATTGGACTCTTTGTTTAAAAAAAAGAAGTGTAGAAGAACACTTAAATCTTAAAATGCTCAAAACCGAGGCCCCTGTCTTGCCAGGGACTGTATAAACAACCTGTTGACAGCAGTGGCTTTGCAGTAGGTGGCTTATATTTGTAGGTTTTTAAACCCTTTTATTTATCTGCAATTGAATTTGACTCCTGACCATTTACGAGACTTTATAGGAATTCCACCTATAACTGAATGTTTAGGCTCTAGTAGGTACTGAAACACTACTTGTCATGTCTACCTGCCTGAAATTTCATTAAAAAACACTGGATGAAGCTCTCACGTGAAAATAAGCAAGAGAATACTATCTGTTTCATTGGGGGAGACTTTGTATTTTCACCTCTGTTCCTAAAATTCAGCTACATGGAGATGCATTGTACTACATGCCCAAACGCTCTGTTATTTTTATTCTTCCCTAAAACTGCAGACTTGCATACCATTTGCAACTGAGATCAAATACTCCCCTCTCCTGCCCAGCCCAAGGTTACATAGTTTTGTTAGGTGTGCTGCTGTTTCTGCACTTTTGGAATGCGGGAAGGATTCCAGGCACTGTTGGTAAATACAGGCTGCAGTTTGACAGTAATTGCTTTCTTCCTGGAGTTGCAGAAATTACGTACAAAAGCAAATGAAGTAAGAGAAGGCATTCTGTTTTAAATGTATTTCATATCTGATGCCATTTTTCCCCCTTCCTTTGAAAATATTTGAAGTCTGTAACAGAAGAGCAAAATGCATACCTAGAAATGTTCTGGAAGTTGTCCTAGTGTTAATTATTTATAAGCCTTTCTCCTCTCCTGGCCTTTAAATACATTTAAGGAAGCAAGAGAATGCTCTGTGGATGGAGCAGTGCCCTTCACCACACAAAGGATTTTCTGCAGATGACCTCTTCCTCCTTAAATACTTACTAGAGAACCATTTGTCCTTTCCATCTATCATTTTTCTTTTTAAAATAAATAAAGACAAGCCTAAAATGACCTGGAAAAATAAAGGAAGTGTTTTTCCTGTTTCTGGCTTCCCTTATTTTTAGGTTTGGAAATGGTGTAAGATATTTATGTATTTATGGATTTGCTCATTTGGTTTTCTAGTGTTTTGACCTTGTTTCACTGTAATATCTTATAAAGGGGGAAAACTAGCATTTTGAAAAAGTCCAAATTTTCATCAGCACCAGGTAATTTAAACACATAATATCATTATATATTTTATGAAAAGGTCAATCAAATCTCATCAAAAGACATGTCAAAATCAGAAAAAAAAAATGAGTTACAGGTCACATTGTAAAGTGTTCACCTAGTTCATCGTGGAGCACTGATCAGTAGACAAGGTCAGTTGCTAATTTATAGCAGTTCTGCTCCAAGTGACTAGTATCTTTATTTATTTCCTAAATTGCTGCAGTTGTGTCATCTTTGGCTAGATGGAAGGTACTTTAATGCTAGAAGGTACTTTAATGTTTCCAGCATCATGCTTAGAAGATGCTACTATTCAAGTGGTGAGATGTTTTCCTACTTGTATGTGGATGTGAGCAACAGTATCCTGTTGCCTAAATGCTAAGGGAATCGCCTCTGAAACCCTTTCTATACACGGAAGCAATTCTTGCAAGGATGTGCACTGATTTTCCCTCCTTCTTTGCAAGGTGGAACAGTGTTGTGAAAGAATCAAATGGTGTTGGAGAGAGATTAGGGGAGAGAGTTTTGTTTTATGTCGCATCGAATTTACTTTCAGTCTTTATCCTCTCTTGCCGCCTTTGGTTTTCCCAACACTCCACGTCATTGCTTTACACCTGTATGACTTTTCCAAGTAAGTAACATAATGTAGCAAATCTTATTCCCGTGTCTATGACTGTAAATGGATTGGCTTGTTCAACCATTTCTTGATAATGCTGAAACAGAAGAATATTAAACATTCCTGAGAATCAGCACAGCAAGGATCTTACCGGAGTGCATCCTCATCTTTGCACTGAAGAAACTGTGTTTCAGATAGACACTGTCCAGGAAAACTATTTTGATCTTACTGTCGGCATGCAGTGTTTGTCATCCAGGTGTTTCAGAGGGAATAGTTCGCAGAATGCTTCAAAAGAGGGAAAGGTGTTGCAGGTTTGAAATGCAATGAGTCCCTGACCAGCCTCACCTGGGCCCCCTGCCCTTGGGGAGCCTCTGCCTTGCCCTGAGCTCGGCCGTGGTCGCCTTTTCTCCTGGTACTCCTTCTGGAGGTGGGACCTGGTTCGCCCCAGCGGGGGTACGTATTGGAAACTGCTGTTATACAAAGGATATCCATTAATCTGTTTGGTTGCTCCTTTAGAAAATGGTGCAGACTGTTCACCCTTGCTAGAAGTGGGGAGAAACTGCTTCTTGAGAAGTGGAGGAAATGCTGGCCTTGTTTGGCTTGGGAAATCAGCTGATGTAACACAGAGTAATTGATTTGCAGTTCGTGTCCATGTTTCCGTGATTGCGGAACTGGTGCATTTTATTCTGGATTCACGTGTCTGCGTGCAATTTGCTGGGACAGTTTATCCTGCCATAGGAAGGTCGCTCACTTTTCCTGGTGACCAAGGCTGGTAGCAATTGTTTGCTAACCTTGATTTCATCTTTAGGCTGCTATAGCTATACAATTGCTATGCAGGAGACGGCTTATCTTCTGTAGGGAAGTGGGTATAGCGAACACTAAGGTGAAGATAAGGGTTCTTTAAAATCAAATGGGCTAGCAAGAGCTCTGCATGCCTCCTGCTTAAAGTAATCTGCAAAGCCCAGAGACTGAATAAAAATACAGCTCCTGATAAGACACAGTCCTCCACCCCCTTCCTTGTTTGCAACTTCCTTCCATTCTTCCCACTTTTCAGCCTCGTGTTGGTGTTTGGGATAGCTTGGTAGGAAAGATGCTTTTTGGCTGGGCGTTAGAGCTAGCCTGGCATGTGCTGCAGTTCGTGGAGCTGCTGCCCTTCTCCTGAGTGATCTAGGACAAGCTGGTTGGTGTTTGTCTCAATTCCTCTTCTGTGAATCACAGCCGACGTGTCCCTCCCCGCCAGGGTGCTGTGAGGATGGATTCTTCTCGGTTTGGTGACTTCCGACGTCACAGCCATGCAAGGTGTAGGGGCTCGCATGCGCTCCTGTATATTGTTATGTCTGTTCCCACAGAAGTTAGGAATGGGAGAGGAGGATGCGGAAGTTAATTGGATGGCTCTGTTCGCACTTTGCTCAAATGGGATGTGCCTTTTCACTCAAATTCTCCAGGCTCTGCTATGGTAAAGCAAGCAGGCTGCATGTCTCACCACTGAGGAGCTGCTTGTGGTTTTCTGTTTGTGTGGGTTTTATGCTCTGTGCTGCTTTAACCTCTTAACAAATGCCAAGATACACTGGCTTGGAAAAATGTACTTTATCAAATGTGTGTAGTTACGTTTCCCGTGCAGTGATAATCACAGTAGTCAATTGGGTTGCTTCTAATAATTGCCATAGCAACTATATTGAGTAAAAAACTGAAAATAACTGATTCATGCAGTTTTATGCCAAATGATACATGTGGGCAATGTACTATCTATTTGAAATGTCACATTCAGCTAAATGATGCATACCCTGCTGGCAGGGCTTTCCACTACTCCTCCTGAAGCAGGAAGAAAACAGGAGCTCGTTTTTGTTTCTAGTATTGTTGGTTAAGAGAGATTCCCTTTCTGTTTTCAAATGCCAACCTCAGTGCCTCCTCCACCTCTTTTTCCAGAACATGCAAACAAAAAAAGCAGAAAGGTTCGGTAGCAATTTTTTTAAATTTAATTCAATTCTTCTCCGTACATGGAAAATAACACATTTTAGAATGATTGTGCTGTTGCTTTATTTTTGTTTAGCCTGAACCTGTTACTAAACTTAAAATGTATTTGTGCCTGTGTGTGTACATGTCTTTATTTGGCTGTCTGTATTTTGGCTTAAAATTCGCAGGCATCCCTCTTAAAATTTAAGAGTAGTAATTGAATGCACTATTTAGAATATATATATATATATATTTTCCCACATGGTTCTATTCTCATCTGTGACAGCTGTTCTTTCAGTTATTCGTTCTGCCAAAAAGGGTGAAGCGCAGTGCAAAAGTGAGCAAAGTGTCAGAAACTGCCTCAGAGGAGACTTCTCTCTAAAGTCTCAGATGCTTCTGGTCTTTCACATGCATGCTCGGGGTTTGATTTTTCTGTGGTGCTGAGCATCTGCATTTCCTGCTGACTGCAGCCAGCCTTTCTTCTTCCCAAATCGCATCTCTTTTAAATGCCTCTATTTCTTAGCTTTTTAAGCTAGCTTTCAAAGCCAGCCTGAGGGCACCAAAACTTAACTTCAAGATTATGTTATAGACCCCTGTGGTGGGAGTAATGGTGGGAGAGTTAGCACCTCTGGATGTGTGCCCTGTAGAGCTGCTGTTTGTATTGAGCTTCTCAAAGGATGGCTTTGCAATTAAATTCATGCTTTAAACCCAACGCCAGAGCAGAATTTTGAAAGATCTGTTGTATAACTTTTTCTTTTGGGAGATACTCAAAGCTGCTCGCAATCTTGCGCCTTGTGTGTGTGCAGAGGTGCTTGTTTTATCTAAATGTAACTCTTCCTTTCAGCTCTCTTTAGGTCTTTAGGAACCCCTTCCTTCCCATTTCACTCTACTTATTTGTATGTGTTTTGCAGGGACCCCTTGGAGCTTGCCCCGGGAATGGACAGCCACCTCCACCTCTGGAGGAGAGCACTGCCTAGTGAAGAAGCCTTCAAGGCAAGTCGAGGGGCGTGCTGATAGTCTCCGAAGAGCAAGGCCAAGAGGTGACCTCCCAGACCCACAGCCATGCCTTTCGGGCTGAAACTGCGACGGACCCGGCGCTACAACGTCCTGAGCAAGAACTGCTTTGTGACACGGATCCGTCTGCTGGACAGCAATGTGATCGAGTGCACGCTCTCCGTGGAGAGCACAGGCCAGGAGTGCCTGGAGGCTGTGGCGCAGAGGCTGGAACTGCGAGAGGTACGAGCGGCTCGGCAAAGGCCATCTGTCACTTTATAATTTGACACGTTTTTAGCTCGGGCAATCTGTTCATCTGAATTGTGTTATTCTTAGAGCTSGCCTGATATGATCAGCAGCTGGAGCTTGGGCAAACATAGTCTGGTTGCATGAAGCCGAGGACAGAATGGCCCTTGGGTTTGGTGTTTTTTTTTCTTTTTTGCTGTTGCTCATTCATCCCCACTTCGAGAGCTTGTGGGAGAAATTTCTCTCTTCTTAGGRAAACTTGGGTGTTAACTTTTTGAGTTGGGATGTCAGTGGGCCAAGGAAGGTTAATTTTTATCTGAGTGTAGCCCAGATTTCCCTGATGTTGTGAATAATTACAGTGGAAAGGAGACCATTGGCTTTCAAATATCCCCTTGATAGAGTAGGTTCTTGCTATTAACATTCTGAAATCTACAGTAGTTGAGTTACAGGTCTGAGTAACTAGTAAAAACAAGGATTTTTGTTTTTTTTGTTTTTTTTTTTTTTTTTTAACTTCCCTTAGTTTAACAGAAATATTTCACAACCAAAGCTGAAGGGCTTCATTACCAAAACTTCTGAAAAGGCTTAAGAAGCCCAATCTTACCTTTTTAAAGACACAAAACCTCTATATTTATTATTCTTTTTGTAGAGTTCTGTGGGATTTTTTTTCTGTTATTTTTTGCATTTTTAGATGTCAAGGTATTTTCAGAAATCTCTCCTGCAACTTTCCTGGYGCAGATAAACTACCTTTTCTTACCTTTTGCAGCCTCCTTACGCATGGTCTGTATGTTCCTAGGCTTTTGCAAAGCACAGATTGAAAGCCATTGCCTGGGAATTGCTGCCTGTCATCCTGCTGTCCTGGCTGAGGCTTTCTGTAAGCACAGCTGGGAAATCTAATCATCTCGCAGTGTCTTATGTTTGTTGGTACAGGGCCCTTTGCAGCCGTGACACCTGGAAGATAGCAGAGAAATAACTAGTGCAGATGAAAAGCAAACAAAAGCTCATCTTTGTGAGCTATCAAGGATGATAAAGAATGAGGAAAGAATTTCACTGTGTGCGCAGAGTAGGCAGAGGAATGTGCAGGCAGAGATAGCACAAAGAAGCAGAATACTGGAGAGTGGTTTTCATACTTGATTTTTCGCATGTAGATTTTAGTAGCAGCATGCTCCCCTTCCCTATATATATTTGTGTGTGTGTGTGTATATATATATATATTTTATGTGTATATATATATATATATATATATATATGTGTGTTTTTTTTCCCCCCCTCTCAATGTTGGTGATGCATTTGCCTGTTCTTAGATAGGCGAGATCTTTCCCTCCCAGTGCAGAAATGAGCCCTTTTCTGGGATGAATCTCTTCATTCCTTGATAGGTCATCTGACTGGCCCAGCCAAGCTGTGGTGCCTGATGTTTCTTTCTCTGCAGGTCCCCCTGCCTTTGGGAACAACAGCTCTGTCCATGGATTAATGTTTCATTTTATTTATTTTTTTCTTCACAAAGCATTTTGTAGTTTCAGAACTTGTTTTATTCCATTTTAGAACAAAACACAAAGTATCAAAATCAAAAAGAAAGAAAAAAAAGAGATCAGACAGTGGAGTAGCCAAGGAAATTATTTGGTCAGTGTTTAATTAGATGGAGATTTTCTGTTGTTTACAAGTGTAACAGTTATCAAAATCCTTTTTCAGTCTTGTCTATACAGTCTTAACAGTGTTTGTTCATTTAAGAATAAGCATCACTTTTTGGTGGATGCTTTCATTTGTTCTCATGTTTGGATAAAGTATAGGTTTAACCCAACTGTTGCCCTCGTGTTAAGAATATATTGTTTTTCACTCAAATTAATTTCTTTGAAATTAATGCGCAGAAACTCTCTCAAAAAAAAAAAAAGCTTAAAAAAAGGAGCTGCTGGTATGTATTGTTGTGAAGGACTGTCAATCATTATATCACACACAGCTTAAAAACAGTATCCAATGGATTATGCATATTTCTATTTGATCTCTGGGGAGCATAACTCCCTCCCTAACTGAGTCAGGGTTCAGGAATGGGTCGGCAGAAAGCATAGCCGTGTAACTACCGTAAAATCTGTTTTTATCCTTTCCAGCAAAGCTCTTGGAAAAAGTATCAGGTCTTCTAGGTAACAGTTATCCATTCTAATAAAATAAGCTCTTAGGTTAGCATTATTGAGTGAGAGGGGGAAATGGGGGAAGGAGAGAAAAGAGAGGAAAAAGATGAGATTTAAAAAAAAAAATTAATCCTCAGATTAAAATGAAGATTTTTTTAATATAATATTTTTTTCCTTCAAATGAGATTTTGAGTGAACCTGTTTGAAATAAGAGTAAGCTGCACTGATCCGTGATGTGACTTGATTCTTGTTTCTTCTCTTTTGTTGCCCTTAATTCACTTTATAGAATGCTAAAAAGCACTTAGATTGTCCTAAGGTATTTTGAGGATTTTTGTGGTGGTTGGTGGTTTTCTTTCCTTCTTTCCGTCCCTGTCCCGTCCCTGTCCCGTCCCTGTCCC